CCTAATTACCCACAGGCAAGAAAAATATGCTCCTGATTAGTGAATACCAGAGAACGAGCACAAAAACCCTGGTCACCATCCCACGCACTCGCCCAGATTTCACCCCCGCTGTGAGAGGAGGTGGTTGGGGGGAAGCACCGGTCGAACGAAGATGGCAGATGCAGTCGCCATCAGTGGAGGCAGCATCAGACGGGGAGTAGCACTTCAAATGAAACAGTCACACAGCCATAAATTTTTCATCTCCAACCAGCTTTGAGGACGGAGACGGGGGCAGGTCAGCCAGACTTCAGCTGAAGGCTCCCAAAAACAATTCAGGGCTTTCAGAGACAAATGGTACATGTTGGAGGAGGAGGGGATCTGGGGGCGGGAGGCACATGAAACAAAAAATAACAAAAAAAACAAAACAAAAAAACTCCTTTCTTTACGACTGATGAACAAAAATGCTGCAAATGAATCACTGTTGAGCATAAATGGCAAATATTACCAGCAGAGCAAAAATCAGTGTTGGAGTTTTTCGTTTTCTGTCAGTGTTCTTTTTATGGGTCAAAAAAATACAATTGGTGTCATTCAAACACTTTAGTATGAATTATAAGTAAGTAGTTTTGCTTCTAAAGTATTTCAAAATCTTTGTATACTTACAGTAATATACTGATCTTAAAGTATATAAATTGCACTTGATTTAATCTGGGACAACAGATGAGGCAAACTGATGTTTAGATAAACTATTTTTCTTTTTTTATGTTCAATTTATTTTCATGAACTCTGCTGTTTTAAGTAGCACATTATTTCTGGCAACTGGACAAAATTTATGATCACATTTTGAACTGAAGAGAAATCCTCCTAAACATGTGTGTGGTTCAGACGACTCCTTATCTGTGAAGTGAGTCAGAAATATGAACCTCTGACAGTAAAAGGAGCTACGATCATAAAAGGCTGCCCTCGTCCGATGAGCTCACCGTGGAGCTCTGCAGAACGGCTGCAAATTTAATGAGTGATATATTTTTTTTTCCTCTACATCTCTCTCTCTCTCTTTCTTTTTTTTAGAATCCTCTGGGAATTTGTCTGGATGCTAATACATCCTGACGTCTCCATCCTTGTTTAAACAGCTCATCTTATCCCGAATTGGATGATGCAAATTAAAGCCACGCTGAATGACGAGACCTAACTTAACACGGCTGCAAACTTTTTTTTTTTTTTTTTTTACCAAACTTTGTCTGAGAATACATTGCAGGTCAAAATAACTTTGTTGTACTACATTGCTTTTTGTTTGATGTTTAATAGCCACTCCTAGAATAAACATCATGCAGAGCTTTGCAACATTTTATCACACTAGAATCACAAACATTGATGTTTTTTTTTTATTTGAATGGTGTTTCATGAAGAAGCTTTACATATATAGAAACAGAAATATTTTATAATGTATTTATTTTTTTTTTTGCAATTAGATCAAGCTCAGTCAAACTGCAAGTCTCTCCACAGACATTTTCCCAATTTGATTTAAACTACTTCATTGTAGCTCTGGTTGTATGTTTAAGGTTGTAAATGCTGGAAGGGTGAACCAGGACCAAGCCATGAACAGGCTGTAGCACTTTATTTTTCAGAATTTCTTTAAATTTAGCCTTACTCAAACCCCAATTAACTCTGACCAGTTTTCCCGTCCTTGCTGAACAAAAGCATTCCCCCCCCACCATGATGTTGCTACCTCTATGTTTCATGTGGAGGACAGTATTTCAGGGTGATGTACAGTACAATTTTGATCTCATCTGACTAGAGAATGCATCTACCACATGTTTCTTGTGTCTCCCTACATGATTTGTGACTCTTGGGTGCTTCTTCAATTAGTGCTCTCTTTGCCCAACCTCTCAGTAGAGGTAGACAGTCATCTTCAAAGCTTGATATATTGTTTTATCGCTTAATCTTGCTTTATACTTCTCCACAACTTCCTTCCTGACCTGTCTGCTGCGTTCTTTCATTTTCAAAAAGTGTTTGGTCCAGTAATGTTCGATGAAGCATCTCCATGGATCTTATTTTGGTATATTAAAGCAAAAGAGACTGAGTACAAATGCTGGATATCACACTATTCAGATTTTATTTGTGGACAGATTTGAAGACCATGATTCATTTTCCTTAAACTTCACAATTATTCACCATTTTGCGACTGTAATGTGACACTACGCAACCCCCCCCCCCCAAAAAAAAATAATAACATCAATGTATGAGTCTATTGTTCATTGGTATTTTTGGTCAGTGTTGGTCTTAATTCCAGTATGCAAGCCAGTTTAAAGGGTTGTGACATTGCTAAGTGATGGCTGAAATGCCTATCTTTTTCCACCGGTGGCATTTGAGGCTTTGCATTTGTTAATGAGATTAAGGCTAGTGTGGTGTCACAAGGGCACTTAGGCCTCAAGCTGTATGACTGGAAGCAGGTGGCACATTTTCTGCGTCTTTGCTAATAGGGATTATGAGTCTGAAAAGAGACGGGGAATATTTCATTTATCCTGTTCGAAAATATGCAAGACCGCTGGGCTGTTCATGTGATTACCCGGGCGTTTTGAGCCACATTGCGTCTGGTAGACGATCGAGTTTAATTTAATCTTTGACCTTGAAGTGTGTGTAAGCTAACAGGAAATGTCATTGTAAGTGACGGGATTTGTTTGAGATGGTTTAATTGCTGCTTGTAAATTGTCTTCTTTTCTTCAATCTTCAGAGATTTTTCTGAACATACCGACATGAGGACAAAAAGAAAGATAATTCAGTGATGTATGCTACCTTTTCAGCCCACTGCATCCTCAACAGGAAAAGTGGAAGCAGGAGGAGTTGATGGATCCTGTAGGTGTGTGAGTCTGACTCTGACCTTTTGTTTCCACCAGCCTACACACAGTCGTCCATGCAGCTCTCTATTGAGTTGCCGTGGCTGCATTCCATCAGGGACTCTGAACGGTCAGAGTACAGCACCTCCAAATAGGATAACATTGTTGAGTAATGTTGTGTGGGCTTGAGTTTAAACAGCATTTGTGGAATGTTAATATTTCTTTGGCAATCTGTTTGAATCTTTTCTTCTATAATATAATGATCTTTTAATCCTGTATTAAATGTGTTCAGAAAGCAAGACAAAAACATATTGTCATTCTTAAAGTTGGTGCAAAAAAACCCCCAAAAAAAACATTCGTAAACCTTTCTTTTTTTTCCCTGAAAAACGTATGCAGCAATGCATTGCCTTGTTTTATGATGTTATTTGTAAAAGTGTTAATTTCAGTCGAATCTTGTCATATTTTGTCACATTACAACTGCAAACTCCTTTGTGGGGATAGACCAAGACCAGACTAAGCACAAAGTAAGACATACTCACCAACTGAAAGTACAATTTCACTGGTTTTATTTATTTTTTTTATACTCCTAAAAATGTGACAAGCATGTGTGTTTAGGCTACTTAACACTGCTACTCTACAACAACTGTTTAGTGAAGGCCTCAAAGATTAGTTAGAGAACGTTTATTAAACACCATGAACAGCAAGACTGAACACTGTTCTGCCATTTAAAGAACAGTGACAAAAAGAGATGTTTTGGAGAAAAAGCCCCATAAATGTCAAATAAAAAGTCTTGTTTGTTGACCTTCTTGTAAGGTGATGTAACCAGAACACAGCAGAAGAATGTGTCCTTGTCAAATGAGACCAAAAAAAAATTATTTTTGTAATTTATTTATTCTATTTGTTGCAGAAAACACTGCACATACCACGGAAATCAGCATAGTGACACATGGAGCTCACAAAGAAAACCTTTCAGAGCAGTGGTGCACAAACTCAATGTCCTGAGGGCCAACTCATTAAGCAGAAAGTACTTTCCGGATACTTTTTTTTTTTTTTAAATTACTGGATGCAAAACTTCATATGTCATATATCCTTATTTATCTGCTCAAATAATAAACTAAAATATTTATGAATTTCACCAGAACAAAGTTTTAGGTGTCACAATTTCAAGAAAATCGGAATGGAACAAAAATAAATAAATAAAAGTTTACTGAGTGTGGCAGATATAGAGTGAAGTAAAAAAACAAAATTTATTTTAGTTGGTGCTCTATGATACCACCAACAGAATAATGGAAATAATCTAAAAACATGCAATACAGGCTAGTTGTTGAGTGTTGGCCCTGAAATGTACATCATCAATGTCCACATCATTGATGATGTCAGTGTTACTCATTGGCTGCAGAAAACGGATAAATGGATTGTCTGGTGGTTGGGAATTCCTTTTTTTGAGATCTCTCCGAGATCTCTCTAAATAGATATATTTGTTGTAATTACAATAAACTTGCTACTTATCTTTCAGGTAAATAAATCTTGGAAGTCCTTGGACCAAAATACCTATCAAGACAAAACTGGAGGCACTGTTTATGAAATATTCTGATTATTTGTGCGTAAACCAGCTCATGTACATTTGAGCAAAAGCAGATGCATGAATACAATGCATCTGATTTTTTACGTTTTGTGAAGATATTTTAATCCAATTTAAAGTCAACGATGCAAATTCTATGTAGGAAACGAGATGTGCTTCAAAAACGTCCATGGCTGCATTTTCTGCCAGAAGCTAACCATTTACAGTCATTGACTGAAATTAAAACATTGAGAACTAGAACCTCAAGAGATGTATTGATCTGTGTGTGTGTCTGAAGTCAGTCTGGCAGTAAAGAGGGGAAAAAAATTGCTTTTGAAAAACTGATGGACATGACAGCCTTGTAAATGCTAATTCAAAATGTTTTTCCTGTTACTGGCAAAGAATTTACATTTAAATTCCAAGTTTGAGTGCAGCAGGACTCGGATAACAATAAATGCCCAACGCAGGTCCTACAATTCATGCTACACGGTTTCTGTCTGCTAAGTGACACAGTAATTACACACAAAGCTTAAGAGTTCATTCAGTGGGTGTGAAGCGTGATGGCTGTAAATGTGGAAGGAATACTGATATTCCAACGTTTTTGAAACCCCTCTTTCTCTTTGTTCAAGCGCCTGCCTTGCTGCCTCCTCCCCACTGCGGCGAAGCAATCTCATTGGAGGACTGCAAAAGTCACGGGTTGACAATCAGGTCTACAGCATGAAGGATTCTAACTGTTGCTAAGGTACTTTGAATGGTGATTTGACCATTACATGAGTTCATTTGCTATCCATCTTCAACCGCCGAATGCTCAGAAATGGTGTGAAACTTGGTCAGAGTGTGAAATCCAGGGATTACTCAGTTTCCCATCAGTGGAGCCAGACATCCTGCTCCGTCACATGCTGTCTGGGGTGTCGACAGCTTCGGGGAACGTTTGTTATTGAGATTTGACCCACATCGTGTCGGATTCCTTCGTGTTCTGTTTCTTTATTCTTTTCTTTTTTCTCTGCCAAGATAAATTTGGCAAAGACACATGCTGCCTACAGGGGTGGCTTTTATAAAGCGAGCTGAAAAAACAAACTAGGGTTCACTCTCAGTTCAGAGTTCACGAAGTCGATTCCTTGCTGCAGATCGGAGACATAAACAGTGACTAGGTTTATGTTTAATTGCATTTTGATTTGGAGTTACACTTGTCATTTTAATACGCAGTGAAAGTTCTGTTTTTGGAAATAAAATGTCACGATTACAAATAAGCCTAAATCTTTGCAAGTTGCGTTTATAAAAGCTGGTATTTACAGTGCCTTGTAAAACTAGTTTTTGAATTTTCACGTTTCTTTGCATTGCAACCACAAAATCCAATACAGTTTATTGGGATGTTATTTAAT